TGGAGAGTGCCATGTAAGGAAGCCCTAGGATGCTGGGCATGAAGTCAGCTTGCAGTAAGAACACAGGGGGAGCTGAGAGAAGTCGCACCTGAATAGCAAACGGCTGGCTTTCTGCATCTCTGGGGCAAATGCACTTTCTGGTAGAATTCAGTCAACAGCAGACTTTGCTGTCTACTGTTAAAAAAAAAAATGCTGGGATACTCTTCCACGAGGAAGCTGTTCGTAAACATTTGATGGTTCTTGTCCTCATTTGAGATTTTGGGAAAATAGACACAGATTTGGGGAAAATAGCCAGGACCTTATGGGACCTGGGAATCTGGGAACAGGAAGGTCCTGGCTAGGGCACTGCAAGACCATCCAGGGTTATTTAGCCATAGGGAGCTAAAGGCAGATACGCATGTACGTACGTACGTACGTACACACACACACACACACACACACACACACACACACGAGCTGATAGTGACTTTAAGTATCGCATGGACACTGTCCACTCCCTAGCCCAAGTGGGTGACCTTCCCCATCCTCAACACCTCAGACATCATACACAAGGCCAGTGTCTCCTACTCCGGGCAGTGGGACTGAGACCATGACTCATCTCTTGTCCCTGCTGAAGATGCTACTTCACTTTGCAACATACTTAGAGATGCAGGATAAATCACATAGGAGGGAACTGAGCGGTGATTTTTTTTTCCCAGTGCTGGAAATCACAGGCTCTGTCCATCTGGCTCATTGGCTTCAGACCCAATAAAGCTTTACAAAAGCTGCCTTCTGGGCTGGAGAGATGGCTCAGAGGTTAAGAGCACTGACTGCTCTTCAGGAGGTCCTGAGTTCAATTCCCAGCAACCACATGGTGGCTCACAACCATCTGTAATGAGATCTGGTACCCACTTCTGGCAGACAGACATGTATGCAGAACACTATATACATAATAAATAAATCTTTTAAAAAAAAAAGGCTGCCTTCTGACCAGGCATGGTGGGTGCGTGACTGTGATCCCAGAGCTAGGGAGGCAGAGGCAGGTGGCTCTCTGAGTTCAAGGCCAGCCTGCTCTAGATAATGAGGTCTAGGCCAGCCAGGGCTACATAGTAAAACCCATCTCAAAACACAAAATCATCAACAACAAAAACTATCATGGCTGAAGAGATCTGAGGCCAAAAGGGTGAACTTAATAATATTGTTTAGCTAAATTGCCATGGTACCAAGATGCCTTTTAAATATTTATAATGATAACCATATAGACAAATGCTGCTCAAAGCCTTTAGAAAAGTGTGTGTGTGTGTGTGTGTGTGTATGTGTGTGTGTGCACATGTACCACAGCACATGGGTAGAAGTCAGAGGACAATTGTAACAATCAGCTCCTTCTTTCCACCATGTGGACAGAGAACTCAGGTCACCAGACAGCAAGCATCTTACTTCTGAACCATCTCACCAACCTGCCCCACACACACACTTTTAATTAAAAGCAAATTGGACACCGCCTAGAATAACTTGTAGGGCTTAAAGGAATGCCAAGCTTCTGTGCAGTAAGATTTGATGTTGGTGAAAAATTTCCTCTCTTCCTCTTTATGATGAATCCGCCAGCAGTGGTCTGCTGGGGTGTTCTGTTAAACTGGGGGAGGAGGGGTTCAGGCATCAAGGAGGAGCTGGGCTCTTGGCCTCGTGTGTGTGTGTGTGTGTGTGTGTGTGTGTGTGTGTGTGTGTACCCAACAATGGCGTCTTTTCAGAGGACTTGGTACAAGCCGTCCGTTCCTCATCAGTTGGCAGTGCGCCAGTAACCCCCTTGCGTTTGGCGGGCTGAGCTTCTGGAAATAGGTCTTTGGTTCTGAGTGGTTACGAAGCCGCTTTGGAGAGCAGTTTGGGGTGTGAGCTACTTCAGATTTTCTCCTTCCTCATGCCAGAACAATTTACTCTTTCATTCATTCAAAGATGCTTTTGTGAGGCAGACATGAGGATTAATATCTGTAATCCCAGCAATTTAGGAGATTATGAGTTTTAGGACAGCTTGGGCAACACAGCAAGACACTGTCTCTAAACAGATAGATAGATAGATAGATAGATAGATAGATAGATAGATAGATAGA